TGGCAATTACCAGAGCTCTGATGACCCCAGATCTCTCCAGAACAAGCTGCAGCCCTCCTCCTCGACAGCAAGGCTAATTTCCATCGTGTCTGCCATCCAAGGTTGGCAACAAACCACTCCTTTTTAGGAAAGGCCTCTGGGAAAGGAGGAAAAGTTGGAGTGGCCAAGCAGAGTGCAAGGGAGCCATCTGGGCACCACTAAGAGCTTCAGCAAAATTTGGGGTTACGCTGCACCCCAGTCTGCCAGGTAACAGCCAGAGCCTGCTTCAGGGGACCAGTGTGATCCCGCCGAGATCCCTGCGGGAGGCCAGATCTTCCGTGGATTCCTTCCAAACTTGGTGGAAGCAAAGCCTTGCTATATTAAATACCTCTGACGTTCCACGCTCATGACTCATAAGCTGCCAAGTAATGCCAATGTTATGCATTTTAGTACCTTGCAGAGAAGCTGTACTATTTCCTTATAAAATAAGTTTTTCAGTGTAGGATTCTCCTGCTTCTTGCACAGCTGAACTTTAGTAGCGAACTGGTCCGGTTGTGCTACCAAATTAGTTAATTTGTGTAACACGGAGATCCTTGAAGGAAAGAACCACGGAAAACCAGAGGCACGTTTCCAATATGCACCAGTACCCTTTCAGGTACCCTGCCGAGCCCAACGGATAATTGAGTCTACTGCTGCAACATTTATAACGTCACATTAAAACTTGCTTAAAAACCATTGATGGGGAAGAAGAAACTCGAGGCACAGTGAAGCAGGGGGGAGCGCCAGGGCAGCCGGCAGCCCCGTTAGGGGAGAGGCGTTTGTGAAGTTACCCGACAAGCTGGCCCCAAATTTAGAGAGCAGGGGTGGTGAGATAACAGGGCACCACCCGGGGAAAAGGAGGGATGCTGGGTGGCTGCTCTGTCCCGCGAGCCGCGGGGAGCCCAAAGTTGTTCCCGCTCCTCTCCATCGAGCTCCCAACAAGCGTTTGCCGACGGCTCAGGCACTTATCAAGAGACGGGCTAGGTACAAGACTGAAATAAATGGGAAGTTATTTTATTATGAAGTTAAATGACAGCGGTGGTGGTGGCGGTAGGAGAAACACAATAATCTTGCCTGGAAATTGGTCCTTTTTTACTGCAATTGTCAGAACACTGAAGCAGCAATTGAAATTATTACAGCCATCCCCTCGGTTCCTCCCAGACCGACTATAATGCAATCTTGTTCATCTCGGATAATCACGTAAAGTCCTTACTCCTCCGATAATTCATCTAATCCGCGCGCTGCGGGCTCGGCCGGGAAGGCGGCACGAGCGCCGGCCGCTCCGCCGCTTGCCTCCTGCCGCTCCAGCGTTGCAAACGGCCGAACGCTTTTGGAAACCGGCCACGGTGGGAGCGGGTATATCGCAGGAATATTTCAATTACACGAGCTGGAAATTACACCACGGGCTCTGAAGAAGTAAACGGCCCAACGCATCCATTTTCACACCAGCCCAACCACGCGCGTGGCTTTTGGAGGAGGCAAAATTCTGCTTTAAATGAGCTCATTTGAATTCAGCAATTTTGCCAATTTGCTAAAGTAAAGCTCAGCTATACAAAGCAGCAAAAACCCTGCCAAATCAGGTGTACCTGACAGAGGAGCTCTATTTCAAAGCGCTTGAAATATCTCATTCTTTTGAATCTGCAAAACTCAGCTGGACACTTCCCAGAAACAGGCTTGCAGAAGACTGCCACAGAAACAGCATTTGAAAAGTGCCTGTATAGGATTGCATTCTTTCCAAAAGGCACCAAAGGAAACCTGGAGTAAAGCTGCACTCAGCAGTTCCCGTTGGGGCGGGGGGATCAGAATTCCCTAGAATGATTCCAGCAAGCCATGGCCAGGTAGTACCGGCTGCGCTGGAGATGTGCCAGCAGCACAAAGAGGAAAGTATTTGCATATATTTACATCATGATAAGATGAAAAATACGCAGTAATGGCTGCCATTTAGGGCCCCACGTGCTCAACCGTTCTGAAAGAGAGGGGGAAAAAAAAAAAAGAGGCTATCTTGCAGCTAGTTCAGGCACTTGAAACTTAAATCTTCCACGACTCAACCACTATGGCTGGGAAGACGCAACAGCCTCCCGCGCAGCGGAGAAGCGTGGGACCTGCAGTGGCCTGGGTGCCCAGCGGTAGCTATCTGCAGTAACAGATGGGGTTCCCGGTCCTTGCGTCCTGAGGAGCCACGGCGCGTTTTGAAGGCAAGCCCATCGCAGCAGCTTGCAGCACGAAGCAGCACGGAGGGGGTCCCCCGGCTTAGGGACGAGCAGGGGCAGAAGGACTGCGGTTGCACAAACACCAGCCGTACTGCTTGCCAGGAAAACACGCCCGAGCGTCTTATTTATGAGTACTGATGTAGCCATCGGTGCCCTGTAGGAGTTGGAAGATTTTGGCTTCAGAGCAAAGCTGCCCTGCTGGCCTCATCTGCAGGACGGCACTTGTGCAGGGGCTCTCTTCCCTGCCCGTCTTGCAACGGCGCTGGAGGAGCATCCACAGCCTCTCTCCACCTGCAGTCACTGGAGGGTAGCACGCAGCAGCTGACGGCCAATGACACCGAGAAACCCATCCTGCTAACCCATCGCTAGCAAGCGCTCCCCTTTCCAGGGGCTCAGAAAGCCAGCCCCAGTGCTCCAATTCGTTAGCAGAAATGAGGTTAATTTGTCCTTAGAGCAATCTCATTTTGCTTCTGGTATTGCGATAAGGCTCAAAGATTTCGCACCAGCCTGAAGTTAGAGCATTCGGTGGCAACAAGCTCCCCCCGGCTCGAGGACAGCCAAATTAAAAGCAGCCTCCGGCACCCAGCCTGGCCAGCGAGCCCTCTTGCAGCCTCTCGACATCCCGTTGGTGCTGCGTGAAAGGCTGAGGCAAGGCGAGGCAGCCAGGGCACTCTGCAGATCTGATCTGCAAATTCACAGCTTTTTAACGACTTGCATCTTGCCCTGCCTTATGCTAGATCAAGGAAGCCTGAGCACCTGCTTCAAACACACCACGTTTTATAGATCTCTGTTTTACCATAATCTGTGGCCTTTCCACCATTCAAAGCTTTACTTATGAATGGTCTAAGCTATGCTTAAGTTTATTCATATTGGTCAATAAGTTTTTTTGTTTTGTTTTTTAAACACAGTGGGGTATATTTAAGCCCTCAAAGTTGTGCCAATCTTCACATGCTTCCATGAAGTTATGTAAGTTTTGGGATGGAGTTGCATTCTTTCAAAAGACTTACCCTAAACGCCTTTTTCCAGAATAACAATAGCCATGGAGTATTTGACCCCAAAAAAAAAAAAAAAGAAGAGGGAAATATCTGTCTATGAATGTATGAGACCTCTTAATGGCATAACAGTTACTCTGTCCTAAACAGTATAAAATCAAAGTGAGCAAATCTAATGCCAACAAAGACTCTCCAGTTTGTTCCCAAGTCACAATATTAGTCATCAGAGCGAGGACAGGGCAGCACGCAGAACAGTCTTTGAGAAAGGCTCTCAAACTATTCCTCTGCTGAAATTCTGAAACAAAAGAGCCTGGAAATCTGTGTCCTTGAGACATTATATTCTTCTCCACCTCCAGCAATGAGAAAAGCGCAAAAGAACAAGTAATAAAAGTCTGCAGAAGGCATTTAGAGAAGAATAGGACAGCAGCTCAGCTCCTGATAAGGCCACTCAGCCGTGAGGGCAGGTCCGGGTGCCCAGGGGCTTTCACAGGGCTGTCCAGAGAGGCTGACCACTCACGAATCACTCAGCCTCCTCGCAAGGGCGCGTGCCCCATCCTTCCCGTTTCATGCAAGCAACTCCACTGCCTTAGCTATTATTTCCACGAGTATTATTTCCAGGAGAGAGCACGTCCTGGATCACACGGGCAGACCCCTGGCTGTGTCCTAAGGAACAAACTGAATTATCCGTGGCTGTGGTTACACTGCCACTTAGGCTGGACTGATGGAGGTCCGACCGCTGCCAGATGGGGTGTCCTGCGTGCCCCTCCTGCTAGCTTGCTGCTTCTTGCAGCACCTGGGGGTTTAAAACTCAGGGGATGCCAGGGAGGGAGCTCATTTGGTTTCCTGCTTGCTCACTGCTTATACGCTCCTGAACACCTTCCAGCCTTGCACGCCGCTGTCAGGGAAGCTGAGGCAAAGGCTGCTCTCATGGCTACTAGCCAACCATTCTACGATGAGAGCTCTGAATATCCCAACTACCACTATTTTGGGAAGCCAGATGACTTCGTAACCATCTGACATCCCCTGACTTACTCACTATTAAACAAGTCCTCTACTGGCAGGCCCCAAACCTTGCCCACGTGTTGCTGAGTACTCTACATTCGGTACAGTAGCTAGCACGTTGCCACTTACTGGACACTTGTGGGCACAAGATCCAGGCAACGTCTGAACGTTTCACACAGCTTATCAAGCAGTAAAACGCAATGTACTACTTTTGCAAATAGTTTGCTGTTACCTTTGAATTGGCAGTTGAAGCCAAGGACCTCCTCGGAGTCGCATCCATGCTATGCCTTCCCTCCAGCTTCAGCAACCCCACGGCCAGCACCCATCTGCCACCTACACCCCCGTGTTCGCAACAACCACTCTTGCTAGAGATGAACCAGCATGAACACAGCGACAACCATTTCCTCCCCTACCACGGCAGAGATGCCCCGTATGCTCAGAAGGCAATTCATCGGACGCATGGCAAACAGTACTTCCTAGATACCACAGAGGCACGGAGACACCTGGAAGAACTCCAAATGTGACAGCGTTACACACAAAGTCACAAACTCACAGCCGCTCAGCCCGGCTTACATGGAGATCTTAATGACAAAAAGGTACAAACCAATAAAAACAGGACAGAAGGAACTTCTGAGAACAGGACTCGGGAGAAACCGGGCAGGAAGAGTTTCAGGCAGGGCGGAGCAGCGGCGGGCGCCGCGGCTGTCTGGCACCCCTGCAAGCCTCTCCGCAGCAGGGCTCGGCACGCGCGGAGGAAGCGCCTCCTCACAACACTCACCCGGATCCGCCGCATTGCTGTCACAATCTCCACCCTGCTGTTCGGCCGCGGCACATCCAGGCTTCCAATATACTGGAGGAAAAGAAAGAGCGGATTAGTCGAGTTTCCATGGCACCAACCTGGCCCAGAAACCTAGCGACTCCTCCATCACTCAGATGACATCCAAGGCTGTTTCATCTTGGGAATGGGCAGCATTTTGCCTCATGTACTTAAAGCGTCCCAAGGAACGGTAGTTTTATCGCTTTCACGGGTGCCAGTTCTACAGTCTCATCCCCTCTCCCACTATGAAGTTCTCCCACCCTAGATTTTTGACCCTTAATTTCACCCTGTTCCTAAACTGAGTCATGGTTTTTAGACAGCTGACAGTGGTCATACTTCTCCCTCAACCTGCATGATCTTTTGCTTCTTTAACTAGTCCTCCCAACAGACCAAAAATTTCTAAATTTGAGTGTTTGCAGAGGTCCAGAAGGGAACACTACACTCATCCTGCCCCATCTCCAACTAGACAGTGGTTGCAGGAGTCTCCACATTACTCCCAGAACTTCTGGCTGAACTACAGCAAAACTTTAAGAAAAACATGCAACTGAAGTGTTGGAGAGCTCTTCATTCCCTCACGCATCTCCTCACTTATTTGACCAACAGGTAATTACTCTCCCTCTTTCATTGCTGATCTGCTCCAGGCAGACGTGGGAACTTGTCCTCCCTTTGTCTGGGCTGCTCCAGAGACTGAAAGCCTTCTTCCTTTCCAGATAATTCATGATCTGGTCACCTCTTAAACCTGGTATAGCCTAGAGACTTACCTTCTTTGATCCTTATAAAGCCAGGTCTCTTCAATAACTTCTGCACTGAACCCAGAATTGACCATAGCAATAGGAAATGGCTACAGTACTGTTAAAACTAAATCCCGCTTAACAGTCCTCTGCTTAAACATGCAAGGACTGAGTTAGATCTTACAACTAAAGCGTCAGACTGGGACCTCAGGGTTAATTATCTGAGTCCTCTTCATGAGTCATTCTTCAAAGAGCAGAGTTGCCCAGCCTGCTTCCCATTGACCAAATTAAAATACATAACCAAATTACATCCACTTTACCATCTGATCCAGGTGAACCTTTTATAACAGACCTCTCTCCATTGCTGCTCATCTTTTCACCAGTCTCATCTGCAAGTTTTTCTGGTATCAGTTTGAGTTTCATTTCTAGCTTATGAACAGAGCTACATCAAGAACAAATCTAGCGACGCCTTCCTGCTAGGAACACTCCCTTTAGGCTATGATTTTCCAAAGGTTTCTCAAATACAGTCCACTTTTAACTGAAACACTTCCCCCGCAGCAATCAGAGGTGTGAGGACATGAGCAGGCCTAGACTGTCACGTGGACCTGGGGAGCGCATTCTCCAGGAGACAAGGCTCTGCTCTAGGAAAGGAGTTTGCAGAGAGCAAACATTTCGGAAAGCAGCCAAGAATTTGTCAATGCAACCTTTAGGTAGGTAGGTTGATACAGATGCTCGTCAAAGCTGGGCTAAGAGAAAGCTAATGAGACCACACAGACTTCAGGGTAGCAATGCTGATCCTTTCCAACCACGTAAGGGACTCAGGCCACAAAATTCCACCAAACAGATGGAAACTGGGCTGCTGGATCCTGGAGGCAGCTGGGAAAGATCAGGAGGTGCTCAGACGGGGACAGACCGCCCCGGAGAAAGGGGCTGCCTTGCCAAAGTCATGACCCCCTCGCGCAAGTAAATCACACGCACGAGTCGCACCAATGACTTGCACTGCTTGGGTTCAGTTTTCTCCTCTCCCATGCTCATTTGCAAGAAAGATCCAGATTAATCTTTTCACTAAAACGGAAGAGAGTACGCGCGAGGTGTGCGGAGCCCTCCCACCGCGATTCCCAGGCAGCGGCTGGCGCTGGCCGCGC